CACCACCACCACCACCACCACCACCACCACCACCACCACCACCACCAGCAATGGTTAAGGAAAAGGAGGCCATCAATTTGTATAAGAGCTAAGAAGAGGGTACATGGGAGGATTTAGAGAAAGGAAAAGGGGGAAATATTATAATAATCTTAAAAATTAGAAAATTTGTTTAAAAACACTGGCATTGCCTGTTTAATCATGTTTCTGCTGTGTGGCTAGTGTCCTGCTGCTGGCTCATGCCTATACACACAAAACCTCTCTGCTTGCTTGCTTTGGTTTTGCTGTCATTCGCCCCATTTTCTTTCAGAGATAAAGTCTCCCTGTAACCCTGACTGGCCTCAAGCTTGCAGTTCTGCTCTTTGGGTCTTCCAAGCACTGGAATTATAGGTGTGGACCACTACCCTGGCTACTTTACTTATTTAAAATACAGATTGGGGGGTAGGGTAATCCTGATAATTAAAAAAAAAATTAGTAGGCTTGGTGGGTCATTTCCCCCCCACCCCCGAGCAATAAAGAAAGCCTATTTTAAAAAGTAATGAAAATGTCAAGGGGAAACAAGAAGATACTAGACAGGAAAGCTTCAGCCCAAACACAACAAAACCACTGAGCAAAAAGCAACAGAGACAACTGCATGCTTGTCTTTTAAATCTGATGCTGCTAACAGTCTATGTTTGAGCAAAAAATAAAACTGATGAGAATCTAATCATTTTAATGTGATACTTTACTGCTTCATCAAATAAGCACACACTATAACATGAATTGGACAATATAAATTCATCAAGAATATTTGAAAGGATTCAATTTTCCCTACTGTCTTTTGAGCAAATACTGCCATACTGTATGTTTACTATGCTGTGGAAGTCCTCTATTTAATATTCTCTTTAGAATTTCCCCATTAATCTTCTTGAGAAAGACATTTGCTTTCTGGTACTGTCTCCTTTGAATCTACATACCCAGCATTACTGTTTTTAGTGTGCTGGTTTTATCCTCCAGTTGACACACCTAGAAACACCTGAAAAGAGAAAACCTCAATTGAGGAACATCTCAGATCAGCCTGGCATGTCTGTGAGAGACTGTGTTAAGAATTGATGTATGTGGCTCTAGTTGCATATGTAGCAGAGGATGGCCTTATCTGGCATCAGTGGGGTGGGGGTGGGGGTGTCCCAGTGTTAGAGAATGCTAGGGCGGTGAGGCGAGAGTGGATGGGTGGGTGGATGGGTGAGCACCAACATAGAAGCAGGGGGAAGGGGATGGGAAAGGGGTTTTGTGGAGGGAAAACTGGGAAGGGAGGTAACATTTGAAATGTAAATAAATAAAGAACCAGTAAATAAAGAGTTGATGTATTGGAGAACCTATTCCTAGGCAGGTGGGGCTGAGCTATATAAAAAACCTAGTTGAGCATGAACCAGAGAGTAAGCTAGCAGTCACCTCATTCTTCAGTTCTTGCTTGAGTTCTGTGGTGCTTTCTTCCAGTGATGCAGTGTTACCTGGATGGAGGTGTTGAATTTCCTCCCCTAAACTGCTGCTGGTCATGGTATACATCCCATGTGAAATGTTCCATCTTTCGGTGTGCTCTGAAAACATCTCCTGCGTCAACCAATGTTGGTCTCAGATTCACTGGGTCTGATCTATTTTGGAGAGCCATTTCCCACCAAACCTTTCACCATCTAATTTGTTTAGTGTAAATTCTCAGTGTAGAGCCTTCTCTCTCCTCATGAGGGGCAGAAAACAGTATGTCCTAGAGAGAACAACTTACTTCTCATTCACTCTTAACCTTACTGACTTTCCTTTTATCCTTTTGTGATGGTTTGTATTCGGTTGGCTGAGGGAGTGACACTATTAGAAGGTTTGGCCTTATTGAGTAGGTTTATCACTGTGGGTGTGGGCTTAAGATCCTCACCCTAGCTGCCTGGATGCCAGTCTTCCACTAGCAGCCTTCAGATGAATCTGAGGAACTCTCAGCTCTGCCTGCACCATGCCTGCCTCAATGTTGCCATGTTCCCACCTGGAAGATAATGAACTAAACCTCTGAGCCTGTAAGCCAGGCCCAAATATATGTTGTCCTTTATAAGAGTTGCCTTGGTCACGGTATCTGTTCACAGCAGTAAAATCCTAACTAAAACACCTTTTCTACATTACCATCTCCTCTTGGTGTTATCTTTCGTCTTTGACTCCTTCACTTAACCATCATAGAGATTACTATACTGTCAGGGAAGCACCTTTTAAATTGCTGTACCAGTTCAATTTCCTCTCTTCCTTCCTTCCTTCCCTCCTTCCTGCCTTCCTTTCTTCTCTCCTTCCTTCCTTTTCTTTCTTTTTTTTGCATTTTTATCTTCTTTTTTCCTCTCAACCTTAAAGTTAAACCATATGCATCATAAACTTATTAGCAAACAAAAGATAAACCATAATAATCTGCTTGAATTCTGCTTGTTCATAAAGACAGTGACTGAAACATCTATTCTATGAGGTTTCTGAATCAACCTAAAAATAACATTTGTCAAGAATGTAAGTACCTTTACCCTTTGTATGCAGAAAAATCAGGAAGGCAGGAAGACATGGAGTGCACACAACCTCGGCAGACCCTCATCTTGCTGAACACTCTCTACACACACTACAGGCCTCTTCCGAGGAGTCTCACCTCTGCTTTCCGTTCATGAGACATATACAATCATGAGAGAGCCCAGAAGACTCCACAGCAGCTTTGCTTGTATTCATTTAAGTCATAGGTACTACACCAAAAATACTGGGTGAGGCCGTTATGTGCCAACAGAATCAGAGACTGTACATATCAGGCAAGTATTCTTTTTTATTTTTATTTTTTTTTTATTTTTTTTTTTTAATCATTAACAATAACTTTATTCTGTAGCAGGTCATTTTTCTACTGCTTCAGCATTTTCCTCTCAGAAAACACAAGTTTTAGAACTGGATCACTTGGCCCTTTCTCTTCTTGTCGCCTCCCAGTTCAAAATGCTTGCATCTCTTAATGGCCAGCATCCTCTTGGATCTGCAGTTGGGATCAACACATTCAAGCCTGAGCACAATCTTCTTTGTGGTTTTGGCCTTCTTTCGAAAAATTGGCTTTGTCTGCCCACCGTAGCCACTCTGCTTTCGATCATAACGCCGCTTTCCTTGGGCATACAGGGAATCCTTGCCCTTCTTATACTGAGTCACTTTGTGAGGCTGATGCTTGCCACATTTCTTACAGAAAGTCCTTCGGGTTTTAGGTACGTTGGCCATCTTTGCAGTAGAAGTGTCTGCGATGAAAACGTGAGACCGGCCGCAACGATCCCCGCCTCAACCGCACGCGCCCTAAGTATTCTTTTTTAAATATATATTTTTATTAGTAATTTATTTATTTACATTTCTATTGTTATCCCCTTTCCTGTTTCCCCTTTTGGCTGCAAGCATCTGCATCTGTTTAGGTCAGGCTCTGCCAGAGCCTCTCAGGGGACAGCTATACTAGGCTCCTGTCAGCATGCTCTTCTTGGCAACAGCAATACTATCTGGGTTTGGTGTCTGCAGATGGAATGGATCCTCAGGTGGAGCAGTCTCTGGATGGTCTTTCCTTTAGTCTCTGCTCCACTCTTTGTCCCTGTGTTTCCTTTAGACAGGAGCAATTCTGGGTTAATATTTTGGAGATGGGTGGGTGGCCCTATCCCTCAACCAGTGACCGTGTCTTAACCTCTAGAGAGAACCTCTGCAGGTTCTCTCGCCCGTTTGTTGGTTATTTCAGCTAATGTCATCCCTGTTGGGTCCTGGGAGCCTTTTGCCCAGATGCCAGGCAAGTGTTCTACCATTGAGCTGGAACTTCTAGCTTCACAAGTCTCTTAAACACATGTAGAAGCAGGAATGGTGGTTCAGTTGAAGATACTTGCCTAATTTAGGTCCTGGAGTTCCATGCCAAGGAGAAAGGAAGTATAGAAGGAAGGAAGGAAGGAAGGAAGGAAGGAGGGAGGGAGGGAGGGAGGGAGGGAGGGAGGGAGGCAGGCAGGGGGGAGGGAGGGAGGGAGGGAGGGGAGGGAGGGAGGAAGGGAAGAAGGGAGGAAGAAAGGAAGGAAGGAAGGAAGGAACGAACGAACGAACGAACGAACGAAACAAAAAACATGCACACAAAATTCAAGTTTATATAATGGCTGCTACTTTCAATCATCTGAACTCACCTAGGAAACAAAGCTTTGGGTATGTCTGCAAGGGAGCTTCTAGATTAGGTTAATTAAAGTGGGAGAAACCCACCGCAAGCACAGTATCCCATGGACTGGTGTCCCACACTGAATGAAAAGCAGTAACAAGCTAAGTGCCAGAGTTCACCTCTCTCTGCTGCCTTATTGCCTCACGTTCCCACCACCATAAACTCCACACCACAATGGCCCGGGCCTCTAGCCAGGAGCCAAAATAAACCTTTCCTTCTTTAAACTGCCTTTTTTCAGTATTTTGTCACAGCAATGAGAACAGGAGCTAATATAATGTTTCACTTCTGAAGTGAGTTTGATCTTAAAGAAAAGGAGGCATCCAAGTATAATGGCACATACCTGTAATTTCCACACTTCACGACCTGGGCAAAAGGATCCAAGTTTTGGGCCAAGTTGGGCAGCATAGTGTAATCCCAGTGGGGGTAGGGGGGGTGGGAGTCAGGGGAGGGGGGATAAAGGAAAATTGGAACACCTACATACAGATCAAACAGATATTAGTTTGATATACACACTTTAGACAGCTTATGAAATAAGCAAAAGGGAGATGGCTCCGAACTCAACCTTGCATTTCGTCATGACATCCGAGGGTGAAAAGGGTGCTGGAAGTGCTATATACCTCCTGATACACTTGCAAGCATGCATCCATAAACAGTATCTGCTATTACACAGGTCTTCAAAGTAGATGTGCTATAACAGATAAATGTATACAGTTACAAATAAGACGTTAGCTGAGTGTGGTGGTGCACACTTTTAGTTCCAGCTCTTGGAAGTCAGAAGCAGGCAGATCAAGGCAATCCTCACCTACAAAGTGGATTCTGGAACAGCCAGGGCTACCTTGAAAAAACGCTATCTTGAAGAAAAAAAAAAACATACAAACTTCTATTTTTGGTCTACTGATCAACTGTCTTAAATAATACCGTGACCTTGACACATGGGGATTGTTTGAATGTAGCTGAATACCAGGGTCTCGAGAGATTGTTCAGTGGTTATGAGCACCAAGCGCTCTTGCAGAATATGCAGGTTTGGTTCCCACAGCCCACACTGGTCACCTTACCTCCTGTAGTTCCTCTAGCTGTAGGGAAGTCTGACCCAGCTGGCCTCCACAGGCTCCCACATTCACACGCACATGCACACATACACAGAGTTTAAAAATAAGTTATTATTATTTTTTTAATGGAATACAGTTGGGCACAGTGGAACCTGTTCATATCCCAGTTGGGGGCTTACTCAGAAGGTTTGCTAAAGCCATAAATATAAATGACCAGCCTACCATAGAGGGGCAATCCTGTCCAAATGAGTCCAAATAAAAATAAATTAAAAAATATATACAATTTTATATGGACTCTGCGGTGATCAGTTGAGCCAACATTCACTCTGTTTTTGTGATAACCCTTGATGCCTGGCTTCATTCTCTGACAGGGCCTAAAGCTCTGGCTCCTACCGAAAACCAATACTCTGGTAACTGTTAATTCTAATACATCCCTACACACTCTCAGTTCCTTTATCTCTCCCACAATGGCCATTTCACAGGGTTTCCTACAAAGGCCTCCAAGGTTGGTAAAAGTCGTGGAAAAAGCTTTAATTAGCTTCTGATCACTGACCCTGTAACTTGACAACCAACTCTGCTGTTTCCACAGTGTAAAACTACCACATTTCGTGGACAAAAACCCAGTAAATCCCAAGCGATGGACCCATGGTTACAGAGTCTGTGGTTACAAAGTCTTACAGCACAATCTTTTCTTCCCACCATTTTGCACAAGAGGTACAGTTCTTCTCTCATTTTCTGAGGGGAAGAATTTCCCTTGTCCTCCCACTATTAATTGAGTATCCACAGCAAATCAACAACTTCTCTGTGTGTCACAATAACAACTCTCCATCTGTGCCTGGCCTAAATTTCAGGGGACTGACCCCACACCTATAGCTGCCTAGATCCCTACACAGGAGCTACAAGGCGGGATGAAGCAGTTAACAGCATGTAATTTATCTTTAGTTCTGAAGCACTGACGTACTTATTATACTTTCATTTAAACTTAACAATGTATTAAAAATCATACTTGTCAATACTAAGAAACTATAGGTAGAAATATTGTTGATTTATAACAGCTATGTGGAAGCCATAATAAATCCATTTGCTGTCAAAAATCAAGGCACGGGGAAAAAAACATGCATTTCCCTTAATACTGCTAGCAATACAAAAGTACAATTTACAGTGCTAGCAATATTTAATTATAAATTAAAATTATTAAACCATAAGATTAAAAAAGCTTGCAGTTACCCATAATTGCTATTATTAAAGGTATTAAAAGGCTAGGCTTACAACTTAATGCAAAATAATTCTAGCTCCCAAAATAGCAGTTAATTTACATATTACGGTGCTATCAGAAACAGAACAAAACCCACTTATTTGCAAGACAGAAACTTAGTCCAAATGTACATTTCAAGAGTTACCGCGTGTTAGTCCCAGCACTTGGGAAGCAGAGACAGGCGGATTTCTGAGTTCGAGGCCAGCCTGGTCTACAGAGTGAGTTCCAGGACAGAGAAATCCTGTCTCAAAAAACCAAAAAAAAAAGAGTCACTACATTCCTTCTGCTCATGTGACTTGCCCTGATGGGCACTTGTACCTGAACCTGATGCTTTTTTTTTTTTTCCAGTTTTGGAGACAGGACCCAAGGCTATGAAGGTGCTGGTAAGCACTTTCCTCTGCACTACACCTCCACCACTGAGTTTCTTGAAGCACTGAAAATAATAGCTTGTTTAATTTACAATTGTCTTTCAAGTTACAACAGAGATCCTTAGGCTTTTGTCGTTAGACTTCTGAATCACAAGAGTTTGTGGGTGCAGTAATGTTTGTAAGCACAGCTGAGATGCAAAGCTTCCAGGCTGTTCCAAAAGATGGCGATGATGACTCCAGCTTTCTAGAGAAAATGCTGGAGGCAGTGAGCACCCTGCCTTCAGGCAAGGTGTAAAGTGTTTGCAATATCTCTATGCAAAGGAGTGATCCCTGTAAGGAACATGGTCACAAAACCCTGAAAAATGAAAGTACTAAGACAGGTTTTAGGTTGAAGTTAAATTATTAAATTGTATCAAATCATCGACCTTATTTTGTAGGGTGAAAATGTGATGTTTCTATTTGAAATTAGTTCTTAAAATATCCTATACAGAGGAATTCCCTCAGTTCCCATAAGTAGCCAAGGAATATTTGGGAACTTTTTAGTGAGTCAACAACAATGAAAAATCAAGTCGAATTACACAATCTAGAAGTAGGTAACCTGCTTGATTCTGAAAAGTCCAGTATTTATACATACAGCCTCTAGTCTTCTACAATAAACAGAATCCCCATTTAAAAAAAAAAACAGTTTCATTTATTCTATATTAGAATAAATTAGAATATATTAGAATTGCTTAATAGAAAAACACAAACAAACAGGACTCAACAACTAAGATCAAATGTAACTGGTAATTTCTACAGCTTCATCAACACACTACTGAAACAGGTTTAAGGTTTTATGTGGGTGCTTGGTGTCCCAGCCCTGATCTGTGTGCTGTCCTCAGCACTTTTTAGCACCAATGCAAACATCGTCAGAATATCCTCAGAAGGACAGCTTTGACCTTTCATTTGTATGAAACAGTCTTGGCAAGTCTGTGGGTCCCAAAACCATACTGTAAGAACTAGGACCACCTCATAGGACCTCTGAACACACGAACATACCGCATTGAAAGGACTTTAGCACGCTTTCTGTGTCAGTGTAGCTCAGCCCTGGGTCAGGAGTGAGCACTTTCACCTGATGGACTTGGGGATTGTCAGCTGATATTGGTCGAGGACAAAGGGAGAAGAGATGACAGGGGGCAGGGGAGGGGTGCAAATCAACTTTACCTAGGGTGATTCACAGCTTATATAATTTGGGGTGTTGGGGTAGGAATACTTAGGATGAGCAAAGCTCTTTGGGTACTGAAATGAAATGCCTCATTAGTGTGGGGAAGCATTTCAGGAATCTAAGGAATGAATTCTTATCAGGAAAAAAGAAGTTGAACCTGTAACTAAGGCTACCAGTCATTCTGCTTGTAGAGGTGTATGAGTGAGGGGCTTTGAACTCCCCACACAAGGAAAGGGAA